CACACGTCACTCCGTCTTCATACTCTCTCATTATCGCCTCTAATGACTCACTAAGATGTTCCCTCACTGAAAGATCAGTTAGCACATAAACTGGTGACATTTACACACCAACATGTCTCTTCTTTGTATGTTAAGGCATGGGGGAGTCTTTGTGTGTTTTTAAATTTGTTTTTCTACCCTGAAAGCTTCTATAATGGCACATTAGTAATTAATAAATATTATAAAATCCCTTGTTGATAAATTTTAGTTCCCACTGATAAAAGTTAACATAACCATGGAAACTAATATCTAAGTTTAAAAATCTTTAAATATCAACTGTTTTTGCTTTTTACACCATATGAAAAGGAGACAACATGTTTCAAAGAGCTCCCCCCCCCCCCCCCCCCCCCCCCCCCGCCAAACAGCTTCCCTACAGGCCCATTTAATAAGTAAGGCACATAATGAAGACCCCTTGTTGACAAACTTAAATTGCCTCACATAATTAGCTGCCTACCATTTTCCATTTAAATACATCATTTAATTATAGAAGTCTAGCAAGTAAAAAAATATTTTAAATTATTTCCTTATAAAAACTGGTCATCATACGCCTTATTAACTATCCTAAATATGATGTATAATCTGTGTCACATGCTAATTAGACAATAAAGCCTCATTCAGCTTAAACTGCATTATTGGGTTTTCATTTCACATTACCAAATAAAGCCCAATTTCTGTACTTGAAACAATTCCTGGGTAAAGGTGTTTAGATGGGGGAACTTATAAAAATTGAAGGAGAAAAAAATGGACTCAAGCCATTGCTAAATGTTACTATAACAAAAATATAAAAAATATCTACGTAAGAGTCCAGAGATTATTAGCTTATAGCAGGGACCACTGTTCTCACCTTTGTCCCTCCTAAGGCAGTGGTCTCACTCCATGGTATACATTCTATCAATTTCTCTATAGCTAAAATTTATATTACAAGTTGGATGAAGAAACAGTGAGGTTTCTAAAAGCAAGGCATTTTTGCACAGGATGAATGTTTAAGGAAAAGTGATTACCAAATGTTTATATAACAAAAAAGTATGTGGCTATTAAGAAAAGAATGTTAGCGCTCTAAGAACTTGCAAAGATGCCAACACTAATGATACCTTCTGATCAAATGCCCCATTTTGGGGTTCCAGCTGTAAGTAGATGAGCATCCCAGTAGAATCTGGCCTTACCCAGCAAAATATATACTGAATTTCCTTGGTAATAACTCTAGGGCACAGAACCAACCGTACTAAACCCAAAATTTGGGGGGGGGGGGGAGTTAAGCTGTACACTGCTTTAAATATACAATGTGGACATTAAGAGAAATTTTACTATTATTTTAGTAGGTTGCTAGTACACTAGTGTTGAAATAATTTAATGTGATTTCTAAACATTAAATAAGATATGGTTCTCAGCAATTTGAGAAGAAAAGGCTCCATAATACATACTGTAAAAATGGTATTGAGGAACTTATCAAGCAATTTTTGACATAACTACTGCACCAAAAGAAATTCTTTGGGCCCGGCCAATGTAGCTCAGTGGTTGAGCATCAACCCATGCATCACCAGTTGGATTCCCAGTCGGGGCACATGGCCAGATTGTGGGTCCAATCCCCAGTGGAGGACATGCATGAGGCAGCCAATCGATGTTCTCTCTCATCGATGTTTCTACCTCTCTCCCTCTCACTTCCCCTCTCTCTAAAATCAATAAAGAAAAAAAATATTTTTAAAGAAGTTCTTTGGTAGCTAGCTGTACCATCCATAGGACATTAGTAGGAAAGTAGTGAAGCATAATAATCAAGAGTGCTGCTTACAGGACCCCACTGTTGAGGTTTGATACTGGCTTCCACTGGTGTATGTTCACTGACATGCAGAGAAGGCAACAAAGGTTAACTGAAATTCTTATTGCAGTTAAGAAAAATATGCCTTTGAATATGAAAAAAATTTTAATAGAATTATTTTTAAACAGAAATCATTTTGAGTAATCAAAATACTTTGGAGCTAGTTTTATTTTTTCATCCTAAGCCAGACATCTCTTCAAATCTAACCATTGCCCTTTTTCTTTTCATTCTTTCCAATGTTATTATGATTAATCTAGAGGCTAACCTAAAATAAATATTTTCAAGTCTCTGTAATTTAAAAGTTAATTATCCAGTTTGTGATCAAAGTTCTTCCTCCTCTTCCCTACCCCATCACCATTTATCCCCCCTTTGCTCTCTTCCCCCTCCACCCACAATCAAGGTCCTTACATTTTTGTTTCTTCCTACTGACCTACTCTATTCATCTTCTGCTTATTAGAATTACCTCCACCAGAGGGCAGACCAAAAAAGAGGAAGTTAGGAAAACAAAGTTGGTAACTCGTCAGCTTCCAGAGAAACTTTAGCAGTGTCACCAAAAAACTTCAAACAACACTAACATTATAAGATTCTCTGAGACAGCCTAATGTGAAAACAGGATTAGACAAAACACGGGAAAATAGTTGGCAAATATGGATTCATGTATCTATTCATTTATTTAAATATCTGAGTTCCAAACACATGCCAGGCACATTCCAGACTCTAGGGATTCAGCAGTAAACAAAACAAACAAAAGTTCCCATTGTCATGGAGCTTTATTCTATATTTGTCTAGGAGAAAGATAATAAAGCACATAAGTAAATAACAATTTCAAGTACAGATAAATACTACACAGGAAAAAATACTGCAAGAAATTAGAGGGTGACAAAGAAGGTTATTTTTATTTATTTTTTTATTATTATTTTGTTGCTGTTAATCCTCACCCGAGGATATTTTTTCATTGAGTTTTTGAGATAAAATAGAAGGGAGGGAAGGAGGAAGAAACACACAGAGAGAGAAATATCGATGTGAGAGAGAGACATGGATTGGCTGTCTCCCACATGACCGCCACCGGGGCCAGGGATTGAACCTGCAACCCAGGTGCCTGCCCTTGACTGGGAATCGAGCCCTCAACCCCTCAGTGATGCTCTAACCACTGAGCAAAACCGTCCAGGGCAAGAAGGCTATTACACAAATTAATCTAAGTAAAGACCTGAATGAAACGACTGAATGAGTCATGCCTTAAATTGAGGAACAGCAGTCCAGGAAGAAGAAACAGTAAATGCAAAGGCCTTGAGGCAGAAACCAAGCTGGTATGCTGCTGAATCAACAGCACAGAAGATAGTGAAGCTGGAGGGAAGTGAGCAAAGCAGAAGAGATTAGGGAGATGAGCAGGAACCCAACCATGTGACCACGTAGGCCTCCTGACCATAGTGAAAACTTCAGATTGTATCTAACAGCAATGGGTTCAGATGACTGAGAGATACAATCTGATTAGCTTTACATCTTTTAAAGTTCATGCTGGCTGCTGGGAGACAGAGACTGGAAGCTGAAAGACCAGTTAGCTACTGCAACAGCTCAGGTTCGGAAGGAGAGTGGTTTGTCACGGGAGTACTAGTGGCAGTGGAGGTGATACGAAATAGTCAAATTTGGAATAATTGTTGAGTTAGAGCCCATAATACTTGCCAATGGAGGAATAGATGTAGGATGAATAAAACATGGAAACTGAGGATAACTCTTAGGATTTTTAGCATGAGCAACAGGGTGGGTGGTGGAACCAGTTGCTGAGATGAAGAAGAGTAAGAAACCACAGCCAGTGAGGCAGGATGAAAATAAGAGTCAGTGTCCCAGAAGCCAAAGGGGAAAAAATGCTTCAATGAGAAAGAAGTTATATCTATTACCTGTGTCAATTGTGGCCGAGAGATCTAACTTGGCAAGACCAACATCCCTGGTGACCTGGTTAATAATGGTTTCATAGTACAGAAAGGAAACCTCTCTCTCGAGGGGATTCAGAAGAAGATGGGAGATGAGGAGTAGAGACAGCCTACGTAAACTCTTTGATTTTTTTGGTTGTTTTGGATACATTTAAAGTTTAATTTTTACCTTTTTATTTTTTAAAATTTCAAACTTAAAGTTGGAAAAAGTCGTATAATGAACACTCTGAGACCCTCACCTAGAATCACCAACTGTTAACATCTGCCACATCTGCTTTACCTTTACCACTCTCTGTAGATATAATATTACTGCTTATCCATTTGGGAGTCTATTGAAGATATATTTTGACCCTTTACTCCTAATTTACTGTGTATCTTCTAAGAACAAGAGCATCCCCTTACATAACCACAGTACAATGACCAAATTCAGGACATTTAAAATTGATACACCACCATTATTGAATATGCAGTACAGATTCAGATTTTACCAGTGTCCCAAAAATGTTCTTGATCAACTGGATTTTCCAATGAAAGATCCAATCCAGGATTGCGCTTCAATGAAGTTCAGATCTCTTGAACTTCCTGTAATCTGGAATGCTTCCCTTTGCCTTCCTTTATCTTTCAGACTATTAACATACTGGAAGACTAAAGACCACTTTGTAGAATAATCCTCAATTAAGGTTCCTCAATTGTTTCCTCATGATTAGATTTTGGTTTGCATTTTGGAAATACTACAGACAAGAAATGATGTCTCCCTAGTTCAAACACATCAAGAAGAATATGCTTATCCCACTATTGGTGATGTTAACTTGGATCACTTGGTTGGGGTGGTGTCTGCCAGATTCCTCCACTGTAAAGTTGTTTTCCCTTCAGTCGTTAATCTCTAGAGGGATCACTGGAAAGTGTACTAATATCATTTTCCCTACCAAACTTTCTCTGTTAGTAGCACTTGCCTAATTAATATTACCATGATAACTGCAAACTGTTAGACTTCTATCGTTTCTTCTACATTTTTTATTGGCAGTCTACTTGGCAGTGCTTTTCCTTATTTCACTTATTATAGACCTGTAAATTCTTTTTTTATTCAGTGGGTTGTAATGCATTATCGTTAATTCATTTTGATACTCAAATTTTCCCAGATTTGGCCAGTCAAGCTAGTTCCTATGCCCTTTTCACATGTCCCCATCAATTTTTTGAACACTTCTTCGCTTGTATTCTAGGCTCATCTCATCTTTCCCTGCCCTAGCTGTGGAAGCAGCTACTTAGATCTGGGCACTGGTTGTGCTCACTGCTACGAGGCTGTCATTGCTTCCAGGCCCTTTCATTAGACAGAACTAGGAAATGTAAGTGTATATATGTATGAAGGTATGTATATTTTAATCACAGGTGCATTTGATAGCTCTAATTCTAATCCACTACCAAGGAGTTCTTCATTGCCTTCTTCCACTTCACATTTTTATTTCCTTTCTCTCACAGTTAAAACCCCAGATCCCAAATATTAATAAATGTACTCATTTACCCAATCCTACAATAGACACAAAACAGTTTCAGAACTGCTATGTCTTGTCTCTACCACTATAAATACAGGGTTCAAGATTTTTTTTTTTGGCAGTCCATTTTATCTTTAGATTAAAGGTATATAGTCAAAATCCTATGTTAAAAACATAGTTGGGCCTGGCCAGTTTGGCTCAGCGGTTGGAGCGTCAGCCTGTGGACCAGAGAGTCCTGGGTTTGGTTCCCGCTAGACCCTAGCGGCTAGGGGCATGTACCAAAAATATTTGGGGGCCAAATATATGCTGAAAGAAGATGATATGACTTTGGTGGTGGGCACACAATGCAATATACAGATCATGTATCATAGAAATGTACACTTGAAACCTATATGATCTTATAGGTGCCACGCCAATAAATGTAATAAAATATTTAAAAATAAAAACATTCTTAGATTCATTTTTCTTCAGAGAGTTGATGTTATTCATTGAAATAGTTGGTTCATTTGTTGCTGTTTGTATTCAATTTTGGAGGTTTTTTAACCCAATCTTGTTAATTTTATTTTTGAACATAAAAACATTAACAAGTTTCCAAAACTCAAAACTACAAAAAGGCATAATCAGAGCAGTGCCATTCGCTCCATTATCCCTTTTACTCACTTCCTACCCACCCTCTGTAAGTGAATAGTTTCTGGTTATCTCTCCTGTATTTATTTTTGTTCTACTAAAAAAAGTATGCTTTCTACATGTGGAGCAGAGATGGGGCAGAATACTGAAGCAAGAAAGAATTTTATTTAAGATGGGACACATAACAGAATGTTTGTATAATAACGTAAATGATACCATAGAAACTGAAATTGAAGCTGTAGGAGGGATGGGATAATTACGGGGCAAATAGCTATCAAAATATCTTCTAGCGTAGCCATGGCCGGGTTGCTCAGTTGGTTGGAGCATTGTCCAATACACCAAAAAGATGGAGGGTTTGAGTCCCAGTCATGGCACATACCTAGTTTTCAGGTCCAATCCCTGGTCAGGGCACATATGGGAGGCAACCAATCAATGTTTTTTTCTTTCTCTCTCTCAAAATCAATCAATCAATCAATCAATCAATCAATCCTCGGGTGAGGATTAAAAATCTTTTAAAAATGTATCTTCTGGTTTGAGGGATATCAAAGGGTTACCATATTAAAAAATAGATTGCCATCCTGTTTGTAACTTTCCAAATTAGTTATATCTATGGCTCTGGAGAACCCATATTAAAATGGGGTTATTATTTTGGAAGGATAATTAAGCTATCACTATCTATTAATGTTAACAGAAGAAATTCTGCCATAGCAAGAGGGAGGTTTTGAACTCTGAGCTAGACATTTAATCAGGAATAAATAGAGAGGCAAGAGGAGAACGCCTGATGTGATCTGTGTAATAACACACCAAGTAGTAACAATCATGCTGGAAAACAAACCCACATCTCTAACATGTCTTGGAAAGATTAAAAATATGCTAATAATTTATGCTAGCTATTGAGGATCATTCCTCAGGCCCTGGCTCTAAGTCAACGTGGCACAGAGAACATGGACTTAAGAGAGAGAGAGAGATCTGACCTTGAGTCCCAACTGAGTTACTTAACAACTACATGATCACTGGCACATCTCAGAGATGGCTTCCTTAACTGTGGAACTGGACAATGCCTCTTTTTCCAAGTTAATGTGAGAGATAAACAGAATAATATATACCAATGCCCCTGACCCAGAACAGATGTTTAATAAACAGATGTTCCTATAATAAATGCAGATTAAACCAGTCAGCAAGGTAAAGAAACTAATCACACAGTATACCTCAGAGAAATCAAACCATCTCAGGCAGTATTGGTAAGGGCAGAAAAATGTATAATACTTAGTTCCAATTCTCAATTTTCAAAATGTCCCAGAATCTATTTTTAAAGTGTGAAAATATGTGCTGACATACTAAAGTGCCAATGATTTAAAAGAAACAATTCTGGGGAAATGTGATCAAACAGTACAAACTTCCAGTTATACGATGAGTAAGTTTTTGGGATCTTATGTACAGCATGATGACTATGGTTACCTATACTCTATCGCACACTTGAAAGTTGTTAAGAGAGTAGATCTTTTTCAAAAAATATTTTTCCTTTATTGATTCTAGAGAGAGGAAGGGAGAGGGAGAGAGAAAAAGAAACATCAACTGTCCACCTCCTGCATGCCCCCCACTAGGGATTGGGCCCACAACCTGGGCATGTGCCCTGACTAGGATTTGAACCGGCAACCTCTTGGTGTATGGGTCAATGCTCAACCACTGATCCACACCAGCTGGGCAAGAGAGTAGATATTAAATTCCCTCAGTCCTACCACTCTTCCACACAAAAGTAATTATGTAAGGTAACAGATGTGTTTAACTAACCTTATTGTGGTAATCATTTTATAATATACATGTATATTTAGTTTTCAATATATATGTATACTAAGTTTGTACATCTTAAACTTACACAGTATGTCAATTACATCTCGATAAAGCTGGAAAAATACTAAAAGAAGCAATTCTACAGGTTATTCTGAGAAATGACTCGGAATAACCTAAATATTGCCTATGGCTCACAAAGAGATAAACCTAAATACATCACAAGCCATACTAACCAATTTTATAATTTTATAAATGTGTATATACAAGAGAGTTAACCATGTTTTGAAAACAATATCTTAAAAGTTTATATTTCAGTTTCAAATTACTTTACCAACCAAAATGCAACAAGGAAAATCTTAAAATGATCTTTAGCCAAATATTGAAATATACAACAAACTTTCAGAGTTGTGGATAAAAAAGGGGGCTCTGTAATAAATCTAACCGAAAGTAATCTCAGAGTAATCTGATCAGAAATTTCTAACTGGATAGGTCACAGGTGGGTAGTTACACCTCAGGCCTAGTAAAAGGTTATCTTTGTCGTAGGCAAGCCCTATCCATTGTTTTTTTGTGCACAGGTTAATACACCTTTGAAATGCCCCCTTTTCTGACCCCCTCAGGAGAGTATATAACCTTGTTAAGTATCCTGTAATCCAGCGATTTTCAACTGGTGTGCTGAGGCAGGCCCACTGTTGTGCTGCAAGAATTTTTAAAACATGCAATACCTGACTATTGAGTCAGGGGCACCGACTTCTTTTCTTTAGATTGTCAAATAAAAAAATGACAACAGCCAACACAACAATATAGATTCCGGTATGAATGAATCAAAATTATACCTATTGTTTGGGAAGATCAGCAAAATATATATATATATTTTTTGGTGTGCCACAAAATTTTAGTAATTAGTTTATGTATGCCATGAGATGAAAAAGGCTTTAAAAAATCACTGTTCTAATCCAATCAATCGATGCTTTCTCCACCTTGCTTTTTCCCAGGGGTTCATGCAATGTTCCTTACATTCCAGCCTTAATTCCAAATGCATAAAAGAAACTGCAAAACTAATTCTCTGGGAGCATTTGACATCTTGCTTCCCCACATGTTGTCAGTGTGCTCAAATAAACTCTCATAAAAATTCTCTACAGCTTTGGACATTCTTACTTTCACAGAGCCTAGGATCAGTAATAACCCAAAAGCCCCACACTCAAGAGTCTTAAAACAAACCAAAAAAAAAAAAGTCTTAAAACGTGCAATGGCAGAGACTCAAAGCCTGCAATCTTGCGTGCACAGACCTTTGTTTTCCTCCCGACTAGAAATGACTTCTCTTTCATCTTAAATAAGCAGTGTGTGCTCGAACTCTACTCTACAATATGTACTTAAAGGTCACCATCGCAGTTTACTACACTAACATGGGCTGATAACACAGTGATCTAATCAACAAATTAAATGTCTTAAGGAAACTTCCCAGTAGGGTGCCAATCCACAAGCCGAGCTGTTGTGCTAGTGTCAGAGAGGCCGACAGATGCATCCAAATCTTTTACTAAAAGAGAAAAGGAAGGAGCGGTGAAAGGGGAACAGAGAGAGAGATGCAAAATAACAACGCACTGCTTCTATAAACAAATGAAAGTCTGTTTTTAAGCTTTTGGAAAGGCAACCTTCCCGTACAGAATAGAAGTAAATATTAAAATAGAAGGCAATCATTTGTTTTTCAACAGAAAAAAAAAATGTGGAGAGAAAAGGAAAACATTTGATCATGTACTGAACTTACAAGTGTTCGAAGTCCATTAATTTCCCTCACCCCCACCCCCCAAATGCGGGCATCACATCATTTCCAAAATAAATTTAACGCGAAACCACTGGGCTCATTTTTAGCACTCAGTTGAGAACTTTTATGAGCTCACCCTGCGCTCTCCACTCAATAACCCTTTGGGGCAATTCCGAATAAAAAAACTATTTTCAGGGTAAACACCGGCTTGCAGAGGAACCCGAGGGTCCGGAAGCCAGGGATACGGACCGTCCCCTGGTTTCCCGGAGCGCGCGGTCAGGGCGGCCCAGGAAATGCCCGAAGCGGCGGCGGAACGGTCGGTGGCCGCGCGGGAGCAGAGCGTGACCGAGGCGCGCCCACCCCGTCCCTGCCCGGCAGGGTCTGCCGCCCGGAGCCCCGAGTCCCTGAGTCCGGAGGACCCAGCCGGCCCCGCGCCGCCAACCGGGCTGGGTTCCTCCGGGCGGCCCTGCGGGAAGCCCTGGGTCCCCGTGCGGGGCGCACCGACGAGCCGCAGCTCGCGCGACTGCCGCCTACCTGGAGGGAGCTCGAGCCCGCGTCCACCGGGCGCCGCCTGGGTCCGCGGGGCGCTCAGCAGCCCCACGCGCGCAGAGCTGGCGTGCAGAGCGCAGAGCACCGCGGAGACCAGCGCCGCCGAGATCCGCCGGCCACACCCTGGCCCGCGACGTTCAGCTGCCAACTCCGCGACGCGCCGGGCCGGGGCGGGGACGTGGCTGGAGGCGCGAGGCGCGAGGCTCGAGGCGCGAGGCGCGCGGAGCCAGCGGGGACGCGCTGCAGGCGCGCGCAGACCCCGGAGCGCGCGCGGCCTGGGCGGGGGGCGAAGGGAGCGGGCTGCTTCTGCTTCCTATTTTCTGTCTCGTTTCCTGCCAGAAGAAGAAAAACATTAATTCCCAGGCAGTTTCGTTTTCTTGTCGGCGTGGCGCCGGGACGCCGGCGCACACTTCTGAGTAGCGCCCAAGTGGTGCGGCCAGTTTCCTTCCTGGTACCGCGTAAGCCTCAGTTTGCTCGTGGGCAGGATTGGGGAGGGGGCACTGATTTAGAAGACCCCAAGGACCCGTTTAGATGTAACATTGTGAAATTCTAAATGTAAGAAGTAAACTGAAGACCAGAGTTATACCAAATTGCATTGCAGTCCAAGGTCTACCATCGCTAGTTGTGCGACTGTGCCGTCTCAGGGCCTCGTCGTTGGAAAATAGGGATGATACCTGCCTCATTATGGTGCTAAAATAGTAAATGAGATAACGTTGACACAGAGCCTGCCTCTAAATAAATGATCAATACTTGGAAGCTATCGTTATTACTGTCACTGATGAAACCAGGCCTTCCAGATAACCCTGTCATGTCAAGTCACTCTTCTCTGCATGGGTTAAACATCCTAGGCATCTCAACTGACTTTTTTTCCTTCACATTTCTCTGGGTGTTTGATGTTTAAAATGTCATAAAGTGAATGCAACTACCCAATTTACTTGCTCTGAAGTCAGTACCCACCCGGGAGCAGTTTTCCTTTCTCCACCCCCATCTTTCTTCTGAGTTAATTTCAGTTTGACAGACTGTTGCTATAGCATTCCTTCTCTGACGTCAAACAATTTAAAGAAATAGCCCTGTGTAAGGAAAACTGCAGAGGAGTTCTTTGTGGAGTTTCTGCGCTGGAGAAAGATTTGAACAATATCATGAGAACTTGAACACCTCCGCAGCGTTCCATTCCTTCTTCTCAGCAGCTTCCCATTATCACCTGGAATAAATCTCTTAGTACCTTAGAAGAGTTGATGTCATGATAAGCAACATCTTGATAGCGACTGTGGAAAAAAAAAAAAGTGACCGTTTTATATAAAAGCCAGACCATGACAAAAGTGGGAAGAGTCATGGGGCTGGGATGATGAAATTATAGGTGGCTTTAGCCCAAATTTTCATTTTCCGTAAGGTGGGGTGCTATTTTCCATTAAGAAGAAAGGGGGAGAAATGCCAAATCTTCTGCATAGCAAAGTGTCAGGAAAGTTGATTAGGACCTATGTGGTTTGCATCTGTAACTTTTTAAATGTTTTAGTGATTAAATCCTGAGCTTTACCATTGTCCTTTTCAGGAGGAAGCAAAGGAAAATTCTTATTTAAGGCGTGACTAGTAAGTACCAGGCTCTCTGCTTTCTTACATCATATTAATTCTCATAATCATTTTACAATGTGTATATTATATCTCTGCTTTACAAATAAGGAAACTGAGGCTCAGTGAGATTAACTAATGTATCTAGAGTCACACAGGGAGTGGCAGAGCTTTATGTGAATCCAGGCTGGAATGACTCCAAAGCCCACTTCAGATTCTTTCTGTCCTGTTCTTGGGCACTGACACCTAACAGATATTAAAGGGTTTTGAGAGGTGATTAGGTTAAGATTATCAGTTGAAAAACAAGTTGCTGCTATTTAGGAAAAACCCAGTGGAAAGTACTGAGATATTCTATACCAGAAAAGTTTAGGGGAAATAAACAACAGTTTCTAAGCACAGAAACCTGAAAAGATCTAACAAGAATTTTACTAATCTTTGAGGACTTGAGAATAAATCACACATAATGATTACTTTAACCTTCTTGAAAATTTCAGGTGGACAGAAAAATTACTAGAAGAATAAAGTCCAAGTACAAAAAAAAAGGAAAGTTTAATTATTTTCCAGACTAGTCCACTTCCAAGAATATTACATTTCTGTTTTGCCACATTTGCTGCATATTTTTCTGAAAAGAACACCAACTTGTTAAAGGACAAGCCTGTACTGCAAATCTGAAAATGGAGCTGATGAAAAGAATTTTATTACCAGGAATAATTTCCTAAGAGCACAGTAATGCATCTAAGTAATCCAGCAATTAGTAATTTTTCAAATCATCATGTGATTATTATAGGGAAAAAAAGGAAGGGAGAGAGAAGGAAGGACATACTATTAATATTTTTGAAGACTGTGATTTGTGTAGACAATTGTAGTAATATCCTGCTTGTAATGATTTAAAAGCAAGGTTCTTGTGTTTGGGTGCTATTGAACTAGATTTAGATTTCTAAACCATTAGGCCTATATTCTCAAATCCCACTCTATTTTTAATTTTTAAAAAAGTTCTTTATTGATTTTAGAGAGAGAGGGAGAGAGAGAGATAGAAAAATCAATGAGAGAGAACATTGAATGGTCGCCTCATGCATGTCCTCCACTGGGGATTGGGCCCACAACCTGGGCATGTGCCCTGACCGGGAATCAAACCAGTGACCTCTTAGTGCATGGGTCGACACTCAACCACTGAGCCACACTGGCCAGGCTTTATTTTTAATTTTTTTAATTGATTTTCAGAGAGAGAGGAAGAGAGAAACATCCATGTGAGAGAGAAATATCAATTGGTTTCCTCCCACCAGAGATCAAACCCGACACCTTTTGGTGTACAGGATGATTTTCCAACCGAGTCACACTGACCAGGGCTCAAAGCCTACTCTATTAAGAGAGGATGTTGGCACTCCTGCTAGAGAACCTATGAAGACAAAATCCCTGCCTGTTTTATCTTTATATTTCCCATAGTGTTTTACAGAATACTTTGCACATACTAGATACTCAGTGAATGAACAAATGAATGAATGCATGCACTTGGCTACTTACTTTACTCAGATAACCTTCAATACTTAACCCCACCCATGCCCTACTCACAATGCTAGAAAGAGGAGAGATCATTATTTACTTATAGTTGATACTGCAGAGTGTTTTGCTCTCCTATGACCTAGTTCAGAGAAGCTCTGCTCTTTTTTTTTTTTTTTTTTTTATCCTCACCCGAGGATATTTTTCCATTTTTTGTATAGAATGGGAGGGAGAGAGAGGAAGGGAGAGAGAGTGAGAAACATCGACGTGAAGGGACACATCGAGTGGCTGCCACCTGCACGACCAACCAGGGCCGGGGACAAACTGCAACCGAAGTATGTGCCCTTAGCGGGAACCGAACCCGGGTCTCTCCGGACTGCAGGCTGACGCTCTAACTGCTGAGCCAAACTGGCCAGGGCGAGAAGCTCTGCTCTTGGTCCTATATTAGATGAATTTGAATCCTGTTCTCGGTGAGTTACCCTAAAATCCACAATGCCATAGGTTTTTAACTTCTGCTTTTAAATAGTTTTTCTTTATTGATTTTAGAGAGAGAGGAAGGGAGAGGGAGAGAGATAGAGACATCGATGAGAGAGAACATCCATTGGCCACCTCCTGCATGCCCCCCACGGGGGATCGGGCCCACAACCTAGGCATGTGCCCTGACCGGGAATCAAACTGGCGACCTCTTAGTGCATGGGTTGATGCTCAACCACTGAGCCACACCAGCCGGGCAATATAACCTCTGCTTTTATTTTATTTTATTTTATTTTATTTTATTTTATTTTATTTTATTTTATTTTATTTTTTTAATCCTCACCCGAGGACATTTTCCCATTTTTTTGTTCAGATAGAGAAGGAAGGGAGAGAGAGGAAGAGAGAGAGAGAGAAACATCGACATGAAGGGACACATCGAGTGGCTGCCACCCGCACGACCGACCAGGGCTGGGGACAAACTGCAACCAAGGTACGCGCCCTTAGTGGGAACCGAACCCGGGTCTCTCAGGACCGCAGGTCGACGCTCTAACCGCTGAGCCAAACCGGCCAGGGCTAACCTCTGCTTTTAAATCATACTCGAGAAATGGTCTATTTTTTTTTTCTGAGCCTATTTTGCTCTCAGACATTACCAAGTGCGTTAAGAACAGAACCATCAAAGTGTACGATTTTCCAGTACTGTCCTGTTGTATATGTGTATGAATTCCAATTCTATTGTATTCAGGAGGAGGCCAAATTATACACATGCAACATTAGAACTAAAGTAAAAGTTTTCTTCCAACTCCAACAAAATCATTTTTAAAACATTAGATGGAGATTGTCTAATAGGATCGACAGCAGAATTCCCCAAGGACATGGGAAGCGGATTCGTAAGTAGATTCTGTAAGAAGTAAGTTATGAGTATTTTTCAGACAACCTGATCCCGAGCAGCCACATCTAAAGCCTTCTGTCTTACTCATGCACAATGCGTTTTGATATTAAATCATTTTACAACTTATATATTTGAGCCCACTTTTGCTGTGTTCTTCTGACACTCCGGAGAGCAAATCAGTGATGGCATCTTTCTTGCATTTTTCTGTTTAAGGTCTCTTATTGTAATTTGGGTCTATCATCTACACATCAGTGACCTTAGAAGAGTGCTGTATTTACCTAATGATATATGTCACAGGCATGGGAGTGGGGAGTAGAAACACCCAAGCATAGACTTGCTGTTCTAGGTCATGTGAGTCAGGTCTCTGGAATCTGTTATTGGGAAGGGACAAGCAAAGTAAAACAGAATATTAAACTACGTGTCAAAAAATCTGATTTAGAGCTATTGCTCCAGCACTAAATTTTTGTATGATCTTGAGCAGGTCATAACCCACCTGAATTCTGTCTTATTCAATATATAAAATGGGAGTTCTGGATTCTAACAGGTTTGGCAAATCTCACTAATCCCATCCCTCAGTACAGTGTACAATATTTAACTTCACTGATCAATCACATCCTTTCCCTCTACGACTCATCCTGTCCCAAGAATTCTTTTGAACTCCACATACCAGAAAGGCGCTCTGGTTTTGGTGTTGATAAATGAGTGAAAGCATTATGTTAGCCATCTACTGCTGTGCAACACACCACCCCAAATCTCATAGCAGATTAGAACAACAGCATTCATTTTCTTTGCTCATAATAGCCAGGTTCGGCAGGGCTTGGCAGACACACTCTGTTCTGCTCCAGGCAGCGTTGGCTAGTTTGACTCTGCTTTCAAGATGGTTCGCTCAGATGGCTGGCAAGCGGGACTGGCTTTTGGTTGGAAGATCAGCCAGGGCTGTGGAGAGAGACCTCCATGCCTCTTCACATAGGCCTTTCCATGCATTACTTGGAATTCCTCATACTACAGTGGCTGGGTTCCAAGAGCAAGTGTTCTAAGGAAACAAGGAGGAAGTGCATTGCATTTTTATGCTTTAGCCTCAGGAATCACATATGATAGCTTTCGCCATACTCTCCTGGTCTCGGCAGCCACAATTCAAATGGTCAGGACACTGACCTCCTGATGGAGGAGTGAGTAGCAGGTTCTAGAACAGCATGTAGGCTGACACACATTATTGCAGCCACTTTGGAAATACAATCTGCCACAAGTATAGTCACTGGCCCTGAATTAATCAATGAATCTAATAATATAAGATTCTGTTTTTCCATTTCTTCCTCCCATTTAGCATTGCCTTTGTTTCTTTTTGCCAGTGTGCTCTGTCAGATATTTCAAACAATGGAAAAGATCTTGCTTTCCTTCCTTATTTGTTTGTTTGTGTGTTTTTGTTTTGGCTTTGCTTTCTTTTTTGAATTTTATTGTTTTTAGTTATCATACTGTAAAATGGACCTTATTCTTTTGGTATATTGTTCTGTGATTTTATTTATTTTTATTTTTTTGATGGAGAATTTTATGGTTTTATTAACACAAATACAATGTGTACACAATCTGTTTATTTTCTTTCTTTTTTTTGTATCCTCACCCGAGGACATTTTTCTATTTTTTGTTCAGATAGATTGGGAGGAAGAGAGAGGGAGAGAGGAACATCGACGTGAAAGGAACACATCGAGTGGCTGCCACCCGCACGACCCAACCAGGGCCGGGGACAAACTGCAACCGAGGTACGTGCCCTTAGCGGGAACCGAACCCGGGTCTCTCTGGACCACAGGTTGACGCTCTAACCCCCGAACCAAACTGGCCAGGGCTGTCTGTTTATTTTCTTCACTGTGCAGCCCTGGCCGGTTTGGCTCAGCGGTTATTTTCTTCACTGTGCAGCCTGGCATTGGGATTGGTGATTCTGATGGCCAGCTGGGCTGCTCTTTCCACATGGCTTTGCGGTTCTTTGAGGAGACGCGGTGAGATTTGTCGTACATCAGCAGCGCTTCAAGCTCCTTGACGCTGTGGACCAGGAAGCTCTGAAAGCCGCTGGCAGCATGCGCTCCCATAACCAATGTGCACCCTGTTGTCAGTGCCTCTGGGTTTCTGCCAGTTACACTTCCTTTTTTTTTTTTTTTTTAATCCTCTCCCGAGGACATTTTTTTCGTTGTTTGTTCAGATAGAGTGGGGGGGGGAGAAAGAGAGAAACATCGACGTGAAAGGGACACATGGAGTGGTTGCCACCTGCACGACTCAACCAGGGCCGAGGACAAACTGCAACCGAGGTACATGCCCTTAACGGGAACCGAACCCGGGTCTCTCTGGACCACAGGCCGACGCTCTAACCGCTGCGCCAAACCGTCCAGGGCTACACTTCCTTTTGATGTGAGTCTGACTGGTGCTGGATGAGCAAGCTACTTGGTCCTGTTTTTTTGACTATCTTCTAGGGCTTCACGAGGGGTCTGAGGGCAGCCATGGTGCCTTTAAGAAAGAGACAGAAACTGTAAGACAAAGAAGAGACCTGGAAGGAGGCTCTCCTGCCCAGGACTTGAACATTGTTGCAAAGTGTCTTCCAATCACCAGCTACTAAACAAGGGGACAATGGAATGGGTACCTCTGCCAAGCTTGCTTTCCCTCCTGTCTCTGAAGCTGGCAGAACATTAATTAGTCTCTCTTCAAACAAAATCCTGGGAGGTTGCTTCTATGATTTTAAACACATGTACAGATTCATGTAACCATCAGTACAATCTGAATACAGAACAGTTCCATCACACCCCCAAAAAAGTTCTCATGCTAGCCTATTATTTTTATTATTACTTCCCACCCCTTGCAATCACTGATCTGTCCTCCATCCCTATAGTTTTGTCACTTTAAGAACATTATCTGAATGGAACCACATCATGTGAAACCTTTTGAGACTGGAATCATTCACTGCACATAATGCCTTGCTCCTTTTTATTGCTGGGTAGTGTTCCATGGTACAGAGGTACCACACTTTGTTTATCCATTCACCTACTCAAGGACTTTGGGGATGTTTCTCATTTGGGAGCAATTATGAATAGAGTTTCTATAAACATTCATGTATAGGTTTTTATGTTAACATACTTTCTTTTCTCTAGGGTAGATAACCATGAGCAGAGTTTTTGGGTTATATGGTCTGTGTTTGTTTAACCTTATGAGAAACTGTCAAATCATTTTCCAGAGTGCTGGTCTATTTTCTGTTCTTACCAGCAATGTATGGGAGTTTTAGTTGCTCTGAGTCCTCGCCAGCCCTTGATATTATCAGTATATGTTTTCTAATTTTATCCATTCAAAACGGTATGTAGTGGTATCTCGTAATGGTGCTTAATTTTAAATCTTTAGCATCACACATGCAAGTTACCTCTTACCTTTCCCTGCTCTGATCCAGTCCATGCATTTCTGTCAAATTGATCTTTCTAAACCACAACATTGATTAGACCCCTTTTTGGCTCAGACACCCCCCCACACACACACACACACACACACGGTTCTAATTTTTTACTGAATTGAGTTTATCTGCCTTGTCCTGACATGCAAGGCCTTATGTAATCTTGCTCTAACCTCCTTTCCAGGTTCATCTCCTATTATTTTACTGTTTTTTTTTTCGGGGGCGGGGGGCGGTTAATCCTCACCCGAGGATATTTTTCCCATTGATTTTTAGAGAGACTGGAAGGAAGGCAGTGAGAGAGAGAGAGAAACATCGATTGGTTGCCTCACACAGGACCCTGACCAGAATCGAACCCACAGCCCTTCAGTCCACAGGCGGCCTCTCGACAGCTGAGGCAAACTGGCAGGGGCTATTTTACTGTATTTTTCACTCCACCTGATTCTTTTGCTTTTCTGAGAGTAGGTTCTTGGCTTTCTCTGTCAGTGCTGGTCCCAAAACTGGCTCCTCTGTCCTTTCTAATGTATCAAAACCCCAAAACTTGAGGGGACTGTCCTTGCTCTTCTGTACCTGGAACAGCCCCTGCAGTACTAAGCATCTTTCCCAGACACTCTTCCCAGGCTCAGAGAGTACCTTCTTTGACAGGTGAGCAAACCCAGGACCAGGCTGGTATCCCGCTGGGGAATGAGTCTCCTTTGCTTGTAGAGGCCGAGAACTTTCCAAATGATTCTACTGGGCTGCCCTCCTTTGGAGAAGAGAAGGGAGCTAAGGTAAGGGGCTGGCCTCTCTTCAGGAGCAATGAATGCACCTCAGGAGACATTTCCTTCCCCTAACCCCTTTCCCCTTCAACCAGTGTCTGAACTCTAGAAGGCAAAGAGCGAATACATAGTAATGATATTATCGTATGCCTGTCTTAGACGTTGTCTTAGAGGTTTTTGAAACACTTTTGAGATGAGTTTAATGATATGGTAATTTTTCAAATGACTTTCCAATAAAGCATGAAGAAGAACTCTGATAGCTGTCAACAATGTGTCACTTGCCTTCAGCAATGACAGCTGAGAGAGAATAATGGAATAACATTAATAATATCCTGATGGAAACGATTGCTTTGGTCTGATACCAAGCCACTTAGCTTGGTCTTCAGATTCTACTTAGAAGGTTACAAAAAGAAAAAGAAGCCCTGGCCGGTTTGGCTCAGCGGTTAGAGCGTCGGCCTGCGGTCCTGAGAGACCCGGGTTCTGTTCCCGCTAAGGGCATGTACCTCGGTTGCAGTTTGTCCCCGGCCCTGGTCGGTTGTGCAGGTGGCAACCACTCGATGTGTCCCCTCACATCGATGTTTCTCTCTCTCTCTCTGTTCCTCTCTCTCCCTCCCACTCTACCTGAACAAAAAATGGAAAAATGTCCTCGAGTGAGGATAAAAATAAAAAAAAGAAAAAAGAAAAAGAAAAGGAGATATGTAAATCAACTATTATGCTAAACATTTTTATTTGGTGGTAGAAATATCATTCTCAGGTATCAATAACAACAAACATTAATAAACCTGTTCTTTAGTACAAACCTCTAAGATTTAGGGAATGATTTTATGTGGTTTTTTAAAATTTATTGATTTGAGAGAGAGGAAAGAAGAGAGAGAGAAACATGCATTTGTTGTTTCACTTATTGATGCATTCATTGGTTGCTTCTTATATGTGCCCTCCTGGGTATTGAACCTGCCACCTTGGTGTATCCAACTGAGCTACCCAGCCAGGACTAAGAGAATAATTTTAAATGCCTGTGCTTGCTCAAAGGAATATTTAAGAAAAAAATAAGTTATGAGATAAGACTTCCTTGGCTGTCTTCTCTAAGTAGACCAGGATATTTTAATCATGTTTCAGAAAGTCAAGTGATGTTCTTAATGATAGCAAATTCAGTTTCTGGTCAAGTGTATGATGTATTCAGGCTACATTCTACATAGCTTCCCGCTTGTATAATTATGCCCATAATTACATTGTCTAAAACATAATATATTATTTTGTGTAATCTAGAGATTTATCATTGCATGACTATTTTATGCTAAAATCTCACTCCTGGGGGACTCGTGTTTTACCACTATATTCATAGGCTCAGCATGGTACCTGCACATAGTAGGGATCCATCAGCACTTGTTTAATGAGTGAATGAATGCAGAACTCTCTAGAGAACTCACTGGTGACTTCATTTACTCATCCATCCATTTGTAAGTTTTTAATGAATTTTAATGAATTTTATCTTTCTTTAATAAAAAAATTTTTTTTTTTTTAATTTTTGCCCTGGTCAGTGTGGCTAAGTTGGTTGAGCATCATCTCATGCACCAAGATGTCCTCAGTTCAGTTGCCAGTTAGGTCACAAGCCTGGGTGGCAGGCTCTATCCCCAGTAGGGACCATGCAGGAGGTAGCTGATCCATGTTGCTCTCTCATCAATGTTTCTCTCTCTTTCCCATTCTCTCTCTCTATAACCAATAAAAACATATTTAATTTTTTATTACAGCTGATGTATAATTTTATGTTACTTTTTGGTGTACAATCCAGTGATTAGACATTTATATAACTTCTAAAATAATCACCCTGATAAATCTAGTACCCATCTGAAACCATATATGGTTATTACAGTATTATTGACTATATTTTCTATGCTCTACTTTAAATATGGTTTCTTCCTGGGTTTTGTTTTGTTTTTTTATCCTCACTCGAGGACATTTTTCCATTTTTTGTTCAGTTAGAGTGGGAGGGACAGAGAGGAAGAGAGCGAGAAACATCAACGTGAAAAGGACACATCGAGTGGCTGCCACCCGCACAACCCTGACCCAACCAGGGCCGGGGACAAACTGCAACCGAGGTACATGCCCTTAGCGGGAACAGAACCCGGGTCTCTCTGGACCGCAGGCCGACATTCCAATTGCTGAGCCAAACCGGCCAGGGCAGTTTTTTCCTGTTTTTGTTTTTGTTTTGTTTTTCAATTTCAGAGAGAGGAAGGTTAGAAAGAAATGAAAACATTGATCAACTGTCTCGTACATGCCCCCTACTGGTGTGTTGAGCTCAACCAGCTGAGCCACACCAGCCAGACTCCTGTGCTATGCTTTATATTCCCATGACTACTCTGTAACTACCAATTTGTACTTCTAAATCCCTTCACATTTTTCACCCATTTCTCCAGCTCCCCTCCCACCTTGCAACCTTCAAAATGTTCTTTGTATCTATGAATCTGTTTTCGTTCTGCTTGTTTGTTTATTTTGTTTTTTAGAGTCCACATATAAGTGAAATCATGGGACATTTTGTCTTTCTCTGAGTTATTTCACTTAGCATAATACCTTCTAAACCCATCCATGTTATTTTATTGCAGATGGCAAGACTTCATTCTTTTTTATGGCTGAATCGTATTCCATTGTATATATGCAACCACTTGTTCTTTATCCATTCTATTGATGGATACCCAGGCTGCTTCCATATCTTGGCCATTGTACATAATGCTGCAGTGAACACATGGATGTAAATGTCTTTTTGAAGTAGTGTTTTAGATTTTTTCAGATAAATACCCAGACGTGAAATTGCTGGGCCCTTCTTTGTCTCTTGTTATAGCCTTTATTTTAAAGTCTATTTTGTCTGGTATAAATATTGCTGCCCCAGCCTTTTATGATTTTGTTTTCATTTTATTAATTTATTTTTCTTCTTTATGAATTAATTTTGTTACAGATGTTTCTCCTTTTTTCCCCATTGACACCCTCCTCCCCATTCCCCCCAACCCCGTACCCAGCTTTGTTGTCCATGTCCATTGGTTATGCGTACATGCATATAAGTTCTGTGGTTTGTCTCTTCCCTCCCCCCAACCCTCTCTTCTGAGGGTTGTCGGTCTGTACCCTACTTCCACGTCTCTGGGTCCACCCTGTTCCTCAGACTGTTATGTTCATTATATTCCACAAATAAGTGAGATCATATGATACTTGTCTTTCTCTGCTTGGCTTGTTTCACTTAGGATAATACTCTCTAGGTCCCTCCATGTCGTCTTAAAGGATAAGAGATCTTTCTTTCTTACAGCTGCATAGTACTCCATTGTGTATATGTACCACAGCTTTTGTATCCATTCGTCTACTGATGGACACTTGGGCTGTTTCCAGATCTTAGCTATTGTAAATAGTGCTGCTATGACAATGGGGGTACATATATTCTTATATTCTTTCTGATTGGCGTTTCAGGCTTCTTAGGGTATATTCCTAGAAGTGGGATCACTGGGTCAAATGGCAATTCAATTTTTAATATTTTGAGGTAACACCATAGT